AACCTCACCGAATTAGGGTAGTGGAACTCAAACCGCACAAAAGCATCCAGGTCATCAGGGGTCACCCCTGAGAGGGAGGAAAAGGAGTCAAGAGTCAGAGGGAGTGGCTAGGAGCCCTGTGCTTGGGGTAAAGTGTAGACAGGAGCCACCTCGAGAGTGGCCTCTGAGTTACCTGGAGGGGCTGGGAGGTTCATTCCCCGGACAATGATCAGATGCATCTCTGTGCTGTTGAGTTCTGAGAAGATCCTACAGCCAAGAACGAAGGAGAAAGATTTCAAAGTGAAGGAAAGCAGTGAACAAGATCCCATCTTCAGTGCGGGCTGCCTGGCTGAGGGGGGGCCAAGAAGAGTGGCCCAAGGGGGAAGCGCTTTTCTCAGCAAGAAGCTGCCGATCTGTATGCGACCCTGGTCTCTGACTGGCCCACAGCACGTACACAGCTCTGAGCTCCTCCCTGGCAGGTACCACGTCTTACTCCTCGCCAGCCCCAGTGCCCAGCATCAGCTCCCAGCTCTTGCCCGCCTTGCATGGAGCCACTGTCTCCCTTAGGCTTTGGCACCTCACGGTCTGGAATGTCTTCAACTCAAAGTGATGGCCGGGAGGGTCAAGGCCCTGCGCCTGGGCCAGTTGCAGGATCTCAAGCTGTTTCTTACGGTCCTGAGCAAGCTTCTCAAACCTGACAGGGATGGAGTGCACGTCAGTAGGGCAGGCTCATTTTCCTGCTCCCCACTCACAAGCCCCAGTCCTTGCACTTACCGGGTGGTCTCAGCCACATTGCCCTGGTGCATGAACTGCTTGGAGAACAGCAGGCACTTCTGAAAGGAGGTGCCCAGAGTGACTCCAGAGCCCAGAGCAAACTGGCCTCAGCTGGCATTCAAGGTCTGGCCTCTCCAAGCTCTAACCCTTCTCTACCAAGGCACTCTTAGCAAGTCTGAACACACTTTTCTAAGGATAGCCCTTTCCTAAAGTTCACTTAGCAAACTCCTTTAAAAAAAAAAAAAGATTATTTTATTTAATTTATCCATTTATTTATTTTAAATTCTTTTTTTTTTTTTTTTTTGATTTGCTATAGGGCGCGAGCGCTCGCCAGAAAGACAGAGAGACAGAAAGTGAGAAATCACCCCCCAGGGGGCATGGCCACGCCGCAATCCCTTCTCCTCCATTCTCCTCTCAGGATCTTGGGCACGCACACACACGCGCCCGGCCTGAGTTTAAGCCACTGGGTCTGGGACTCAACCATGGTCAACTACGTGGGAGTCCAGCAACATAGCCATTACGCCAACTACTGATCCCCTCCATTTATTTATTTAAATTTGACCAGAGAAGGACAGAGAGAGAGTGAGAAAGCAAGCCACCAGGTCCAGGACTTGAACTGTGGTTGGCCATGTGGGAGTCCAGCGCCCTTGACCACCACACCACCTGCCAGCCCCACAAACTCCTTTCTTCAAAAACCTAATTAAGACATCAGCTTAGGCACACTTTCCAGAACAGGCAGCAATTGAGACAGAATGAATATATATATAAATACATACACACACACACACACACACACACACACAGAGTCTTCTCTGTTAACTACTATGAAAAAGTGGTGTATAGTCCCATTTTACAGTTGAGGAAATACGGTTCTGATAGGGGAAATGCTTTGCCCAAGGCCACACAGCCAGTAGAAGAGCTAGACTTGGGATCTCGGCATATCTGAAGTGAACCTCAGGCTTCCCCACACTGGGAGGTTTGGGCACTGAAAGAGGAAAAATAAGCAGCCCACTGACCTCTTGTTGCTCCAGAAGCATTTTTTGCAGCTGGGCATATACCTCCTCAGCCTTCTGGGAGAGTCGCAGGTCTTCGTGGTGAATGAGGATGAAATCACCCTCCTCATCCGTCAAGGGTGAAGGCACCTGCCCAGGTCAGAAGGCCCCTCGGGCCCCAAGAGTCAAGTTACTCCTCTACTGAGCCCAATAAATTCAAGAACCCAAGCTAAATGTTTCCCCTTCGGTGATGGGAACAGCTTCCCCTTCGGTGATGGGAATACAGCCCCCATCTGACCGGCTGCTGGAGCATGGCTCCCATCCCGTCTGCTCGAGTAGAGCTCCCACTGGACTCACCCTACCATGTCATCTCTGACCACAGGCAGACCACCTTCTCTTCCCCCTCTCTCTTGGGGCCATGAGGTAAAGAGAAGCATAAGAAAAAGGCCTTTCTCAGTTGTCACCACATCCTGTCCAATCCCACCTCATCCCAGAAGCTTCCCTGGCTTATAGCCCTGCTTCCAAGCTGTTCCTCTCCTCTGCCTGAGAAGTCCAGGTGCTGAACCAGGTGACACTCACCTTGGAGAGATCAACAGGTCGGCCAGCACGGGCTTGGTTGATCTGAGTCTCAAGACACTTGGCCACTCGCAGGTGAGCTTTGGCCTGCTCCAGGTCCTGGCTGCGCTTGGCCTGCAGGGCTGCCCGCTGGTACTGCAATTTCCGCGCCTCCAGCAGCACCAGCTGCTCCCGCACTGAAGGGAGAGGACCACTGGTTGGCGCCACCACCCCTCACTAGACGCTCCAACTCCTCTATTCCAGTTGTCCCCAACTCACCAGATGGACTCAGTGACTCCTTAGAACTTGAAGCCCTGGGTTCAGACAGGGGTCGGGATGAAGGAAGCAGAGGCTGTGCTGGCTTCTTGGCCACTGGAGCCTGTGACGGGGACTCACCCTGCAGGTGCCCAAGAGGCTATAACAAAGGACCTGTCCCCACCCTGTGTCCCATCTCAGCCATGGCACCTCCCAAACTTGGTCTCTTGCCCCTTGTGACCTGACTTGAGTGGCTTCTTCTCGTGGGCCCTCGAAGAGCTCAGAGCTATAATTCTCAGAAGCTCCCTGAGCTGGGCCAGGCATGCAGGTGCAGTCAACACAACACTGCATTGCGGGACCCACATGGCAAGTCCTTCTGAGGCCTCCCCATACACAGAGAGCGGGCATGTGCTGGCTGAGATGAGCTTCGTAGGTCATGGCGGGAAGATCCTGTCCGGCCTGCCCCATATCCCTCTTCCTCCCCTGCCCCTGGAGAAATAAACTTGAAAATAAATAAACTCCTCTCTGACAACCTTCCCAGCAGGAGACAGCAGGGTAAAGGGCCGTGGAGTCAGACTAGCTTTGCCATCTCCTAGCTGGGTACCCTTGGCCAAGTTTTTCCTGTTAAATGTAGGAAAGGAAAGCTACCTCAGGCTTCTAGTGTGAACAGCAGGGTCTGGATTTACCCCCTATCTGCCTCCCTCCCCGCCCCACCAATTTCTGGGCCTTCAGCCAAACCTCATCCTCATCCTCATCCTCCTCTGTTGGTGCTGCATCCTCTGAGGAGGCCAGTTTCTGAGCAGCTGCCAAAGTCGCTGCCACAGCGTCTTCCTCGGTGCCCACAGTGGGCTCCAGACCAGGAATGGGGGGAAATCCTGTGGAAGAGGACAGGCTGGGAGGGGTGGCTCCCTCACGATCGAGGCAAGTACCTGAGAAATCATCTCTTCCTTCCCTTCCTGCTCAGAGACTTCATCACAGAGCCCCAAGACCAAGCTCCACTCACCCGGAGGTACAGGCAGCTCAGCAAAGTCCACTTTCCGCCCCGCTCGGTGTGCTCGAATGGCATCTTGATATTGCTACAAGGGAAAGGAGGGAAGGACCCGTGGCGTCAGCAGGCTCTGTGCCCACCATGCAACCGAGAGAGACAGGGAGGCAGGGAGAGGAAGGCTGATGGAAGACAGCAGTCCTGGCACAAAGCACCCTGAGACAGCAAGAGCTCCAGGCAGGTGAAGACTCAAAGCCCGGGGCTAGCCGGAAGTGTAGAAAGGCAGAGAGCAGCCAGCCAAGGAGGCACGCAGGGTGGGGGTGTGGCTCACCTTGGCAATGCGCTCGTGCATCCGGGCCTTGCGCTCATCCCCACTGCCCCGGGCCTGGACGCCCGCCTCTCGGTACTTGTTGAGCCTCTGTTGCAGGGCGTCCAGCACCGTCTGTGGCTTTGTAGGGGCCACTTGAAAAGGGAGGGGGAGAGAAGAGGGAATCAACTCTGCCTGCTCCTCCCGAAGTCCCCAGATCCTGCCACCCTGTCCTACTTACCTGGGGCTGCTGGGACATCAGCGGCCGTCACTGGCTGCACACGTTCCACGGCCGGCGGTATGACTGAGGGTGCTGTGGCGGCCTTAGAAACCCGTGGCGGG